GCGCGGGTTTTCGTGATATGCCGCAGAGATCTGTAGGCTGTTCGTATTTACCGACTGTACCGAGACTCACCATTGTTTCACACAATAGAAGTTCCCAGTGGTGCAATTCAGCTAATGGTTTTACTTTAAGTAGCTGAAACTGCGTGAAAATTTAACTTCTCTGCTACCGACAGAAGCCGGCGAGGATTCGGCGTACAATTTGCCGACCTGATTAGAGGGAACCCACGGCGTATTTTCACCGCGCAGATAATTTGAGTTATTATGGAGTAACCCAACCACTTTAGCTGCAGCGGCAGCGTACCTCATACAGGCCGGAGCTATTGTTACTGATCAGCTATGGACCTATTCATTGCTAGCGGCTTTGTCACTAATCAGACCAGAGTGAAGCATGGATTGTAGTTTAGGAGATAAAGAAGACTTTGTACTCAGCAGTAACCCATAGTAGACAGATTTTACTCCATTCTTTTGAAACCATCAACCTTTCAACATATTTAACCCGTTGCCACCCGTGTATCACATACACTATATTGTCAAAAGTATTGGTTGGCCTGCCCTTACATGCACCTGAACTTTAATGGCCTCCCGGTCTTAGTCTGTAGGGTTCAATATTGAGTTGGCCCCGCCCTTATATGCACCTGAATTTTAATGGCCCCCCAGTCTTAGTCCGTAGGGTTCAATATTGAGTTGGCCCCGCCCTTATATGCACCTGAACTTTAATGGTCCCCCAGTCTTAGTCCGTAGGGTTCAATATTGAGTTGGCTCTGCCCTTTCCACACACATGACCTTTAATGGCCCCCCAGTCTTAGTCTGTAGGGTTCAATATTGAGTTGGCTCCGCCCTTTCCATGCACATGACCTTTAATGGCCCCCACGTCTTAGTCCGTAGGGTTCAATATTGAGCTGGCCCCGCCATTTGCAGCTATAACAGCTTCAACTCTTCTGGGAAGGCCGTCCACAAGGTTTAGGAGGGTGTCTATGGGAAGGTTGGACCATTCTTCCAGAAACCCATTTATGAGGTCGGACGAGAAGGCCTGGCTCACAGTCTCCACTCTAATTCATCCCAAAGGTGTTCTATGGGGTTCAGGCCAGTCAAGTTCCTCCACCCCAAACTGGCTCCTCCATGTCTTTATGGACCTTGCTTTGTGCACTGGTGTGCAGTCATGTTGGAACAGGAAGGGGCCATCCCCAAACTCCTCCCACAAAGTTGGGAGCATGAAAGTGTCCAAAACATCGCCTTAAGAGTTCCCTTCACTGGAACTAGGGGGCCAAGCCCAACCCCTGAAAAACAACCCCACACCATAATCACCCCTCCACCAAACTTTACACTTGGCACAATGCAGTCAGGCAAGTACCGCTCTCCTGGCCACCACCAAACCCAGACACGTCCATCGTATTGCCAGACAGAGAAGCGTGATTGGTCACTCCAGGGAACACGTCTCCACTGCTCTAGAGTCCAGTGGCGGCGTGCTTTACACCACGGCATCCAACACTTTGCATTGCACTTGGTGATGTAAGGCTTGGATGCAGCTGCTCGGCCATGGAAACCCATTCCATAAAGATCTCTACGCACTGTTGTTGGGCTCATCTGAAGGCCACACCAAGTTTGGAGGTCTTTATCTATTGACTCTGCAGACAGTTGGTGACTTTGCGCTTCAGCATGCGCTGACCCCGCCCTGTCATGTGACGTGGCCTACCACTTGGTGGCTGTTGTTCCCAGTTGCTTCCACTTTGTTATAATCCCACTAACAGTTGAGCGTGGAATATTCAGTAGCCAGGAAATGTCACGGATGGACTTATTGCCCAGGTGGCCACCTATCACGGGACCACGCTTGGAGTCACTGAGCTCCTGAGAGCGACCCTTTCTTTCACCAATGTTTGTAGAAGCTGTCTGCATGCCTAGGGGCTTGATTGTATACACCTGTGTCCATGGAGGGGATTGGAACACCTGAATCACATGATTGGGAGGGCGGGGACAATACTTTTGGAAATATTGTGTTTATGCAGCAACAGAGGGTGGGCTTTACCGCCCACACACCACACATATGCATCACTGGGTGGCCAAATGTTTCTATGCTGAGAGTGCACTCATTGAACTGTCCTGGCACAGAAGGGGATCGGCTCCTGATCATGTGACCAGTACCGGGACAGGTTCATCTAGTGCCCAGAGTAAGGATGCAGAACTGTGCCATAGAATGGGTTTACTGCCTTGTGTCCATTCTCTGCTGGGCCTAAGGCAGCTGCCCCTCCTGCCCACCCACAGCCAATCACTGTGGTCACATCATCACCAATCCTTCCAATCCCATGGGCATTCACAGCTTTTTAAAGGGATGTTGGAGTGGGCAGGAATGGGGTTAAATAATATTCATATCTATAGTTGTTAGGGCTTGTTTATACTTGCAGCCTTAACAGCCACCCCTCTAAAAAGCATTCTGCAGTGGATTGCTTTTCAGAAGCATTTGAAGGCAACTCAGAGGGGTTGATTTACTAAAGGCACTTTTTAAGTGCAGTTTCACTCTACAAGGGCATTTGCTCCTGAGCTTAGTAAATGAGGGGAAGCTCTGCTGATTTCAATCATCCAATCATGTGCAAGCAGAAATGCTGGGTTTTTTTTTTTTGTTTTTGCTTTTTTTTTTTCCTTGCATCAATTGGATGTTTTTTTTGCATAGTGAAGCTTTAGCTCATTTACTAAGTTCTGTAGAAAATGTCTTTGTAATACACAACTGCACTTGCACAGTGCACAGTCTATTTGCCTTTAGTAAATCAACCCCATTATGTCTCACTGCCAATTTTAACCCTTGAAAGCCCGCAGCAACCAAATGTGATCTGTGGTATAATTTTTGCCTTGACCATGTCAACTTGCAGCTGGGTGGTCAGGTGGGTGGTAAAACTGTGCCTCAACTACCTATCTTTACAGCCCTCTGGCCGCCTTTGTAAATGGCGCCTTAAAGCGGAACCTCAACTAATAAGGACACTTTCTTTCTCTTGGCTCCTCCCCTTCCCTCTCTCACAATTGGAGAAAAATTCCACATTTCTTAGCATTTTTGACCTTTTTGGTACTGCTCCGCGGCACTTCCTTGTTTCTCACCTAGGCAAGAATGACGTTGTGACTTCCTGCCCCTTGGGATGTGCACATCAGTCATTCCAGGAGGTAGTGTTGCTGTCAGGCTCATGTGCGCCTTGGGGTTCTGCACATGTGCAAATGTGCAGCAGGTTTTATCGGGAGTCAGCAGAGACCGACAAAACATCCGTATGTATGTGCAGAAAAGTCCACCTGTGCAGATGTGCTGCAGGTCTTTGCCATGTCAGGAGCCTTTTAGCACATATGTGCACATGCCAAGCACTCAGAGATGGCGGCGTGGGGGAAGGAGGGGCGGAGCCACAATTTTAGGGGACTGAAGCTCCTCCTTAATGCTGTGAGCACATTGGGCCTGATAAACTATGATGGACGGCTGTGGAGGGGAGCGAATGGTCACACGTTGCATCTGATTTTCGCTCTCTGTCACAGAACATACAGTATGTTTTATTAGTCACATAGTAGAAGGTTTAGAAATGGTGCAGTATTTGAAGAAATAATTAACGCATTTTTTTGCTCCATAAGACGCACTTTTTCCCCCCCAAAAAAATGGGGGGAAATGTCTGTGCGTCTTATGGAGTGAATATGGAGCAGCCGGCCCGGTATCGCTGCTGCCGTGTTAGAATACCGGGCTGGTCGCTTGGCTCTTCTGTGCAGCAGAACCTGCTCCTCGGTCCTACCTGTCCCTTGGTCCTGTGGTGTCCTCACCACTGCTGGTTTCACCGGCTGTCTTCTCTCCCTGGCACCGACATCTTTAGTGTGGGCACCCGGCTGTGACAGCTTGAGGCTTCCCAGCCGGGTGCCCGCTGCGCATGCGTGAGAAGCGCTGCACTTTGTGAATGGTCCCGTAGTCTTCTGGGAACTGTCACATGTCCCAGAAGATGGGGAGGGAGGAAAACTCTGCAGAAGTGGGAGCGGGTACCTGTCAAACTCGGATACCCGCATCCCCCACCCCTCGCTCCCCAAAGGTCTGCAGTCTCTGGTCATCTCCTGTACTGTGTCCGCAGTCTCTGGTCATCTCCTATACTGTGTCTGCAGTCTCTGGTCATCTCCTGTAGTATGTCCGCAGTCTCTGGTCATCTCCTGTACTATGTCCGCAGTCTCTGGTCATCTCCTGTACTGTGTCCGCAGTCTCTGGTCATCTCCTGTACTGTGTCCGCAGTCTCCGGACATCACCTGTACTATGTCCGCAGTCTCTGGTCATCTCCTGTACTATGTCCGCAGTCTCTGGTCATCTCCTGTACTATGTCTGCAGTCTCTGGTCATCTCCTGTACTATGTCCGCAGTCTCTGGTCATCTCCTGTACTATGTCCGCAGTCTCTGGTCATCTCCTGTACTATGTCCGCAGTCTCTGGTCATCTCCTGTACTATGTGTGCAGTCTCTGGTCATCTCCTGCACTGTGTCCGCAGTCTCTGGTCATCTCCTGTACTGTGTCCGCAGTCTCTGGTCATCTCCTGTACTGTGTCCGCAGTCTCTGGTCATCTCCTATACTGTGTCCGCAGTCACAGGTCATCTCCTATACTGTGTCCGCAGTCTCTGGTCATCTCCTATACTGTGTCCGCAGTCTCTGGTCATCTCCTATACTGTGTCTGCAATCTCTGGTCATCTCCTGTACTGTGTCCGCAGTCTCTGGTCATCTCCTATACTGTGTCCGCAGTCTCTGGTCATCTCCTGTACTGTGTCCGCAGTCTCTGGTCATCTCCTATACTGTGTCCGCAGTCTCTGGTCATCTCCTGTACTGTGTCCGCAGTCTCTGGTCATCTCCTGTACTGTGTCTGCAGTCTCTGGTCATCTCCTGTACTATGTCCGCAGTCTCTGGTCATCTCCTGTACTGTGTCCGCAGTCTCTGGTCATCTCCTGTACTGTGTCCGCAGTCTCTGGTCATCTCCTGTACTATGTCCGCAGTCTCTGGTCATCTCCTGTACTGTGTCTGCAGTCTCTGGTCATCTCCTGTACTGTGTCTGCAGTCTCTGGTCATCTCCTGTACTGTGTCTGCAGTCTCTGGTCATCTCCTGTACTGTGTCCGCAGTCTCTGGTCCATCTCCTGCACTGTGTCCGCAGTCTCTGGTTATCTCCTGTAGTATGTCCGCAGTCTCTGGTCATCTCCTGTACTATGTCCGCAGTCTCTGGTCATCTCCTGTACTGTGTCCGCAGTCTCTGGTCATCTCCTGTACTGTGTCCGCAGTCTCTGGTCATCTCCTGTACTATGTCCGCAGTCTCTGGTCATCTCCTGTACTGTGTCCGCAGTCTCTGGTCATCTCCTGTACTATGTCTGCAGTCTCTGGTCACCTCCTGTACTGTGTCTGCAGTCTCTGGTCAGCTCCTGTACTGTGTCCGCAGTCTCAGGTCATCTCCTGTACTGTGTCCGCAGTCTCTGGTCATCCCCTGTACTATGTCTGCAGTCTCTGGTCATCTCCTGCACTGTGTCCGCAGTCTCTGGTCCATCTCCTGTACTATGTCTGCAGTCCATTGGTTCAGAATATTTTTTCTCTTGTTTTCCTCCTCTAAAACCTAGGCGCGTCTTATGGAGCAAACAATACGGTATTTGAAGTAATCATTTATTATTTGATATGTTACAATGTTGCAACTTGCATAATTCAAGAGTTCCAGTATATAAATAACAATGCATACACTATAGAATTGTGTATCGCTGTTTACTTTCTTTATTCTACTCATCCATTTTACTAATGCCACCCACCTTAAAACGGTTATAAAGACATTTTTCTACCTTAATGCATTCCCTGCATTAAAGCGGAGCTCCACCCAAAAGGGGAAGCACCTCTTTAAAGACTGGTCCCATTATCCCCATGAGGATGATTTGTACCTTTGGGGAGCGGGTACCCAATTTTGACAGGCACCCACTCCCACTCCAACCGCCTAGGTGATCGGAATTGGAAGTTGTCCTCCCCTTTTCCCACCCCATAGTTTTCTGGCACACGTGACAGGTCCCAGAAGACTACGGGACCATTTACAAGGTGCATCGCTACTCACGCATGTGCAGTGGGCACCTGGTTGTGAAGCTGCAAGCTGTCACAGCCAGATGTCCACACTTAAGATGTCGGTGCTGGGGAAAGAGGATGGCCGGTGAACCTGGCTGGTGTGAAAAAAAAACGCTGGATTGTAGGACAGGACAGTGGCTATTTTTTAAAGTCAGCAGCTACAATTTTTTGTAGTTGCTTTTATTTTTTTCAGATTTGACTGGAGCTCCAAAATCATGGACATTTAGCCAAAAGAGCATTTGAGGTCAGGTAATGATGTTGAACAAGACCTGATTTGCTATTTGTGGTTCAGTTCATCCCAAAGGTGTTTTTGAGGTCAGGGCTCTATGTTCAGTATTGTTGAGGTCAGGACTCTGTGTTCAGTACGGTTGAGGTCAGGGCTCTGTGTTCAGTAGGGTTGAGGTCAGGGCTCTGTGTTCAGTAGGGTTCAGGTCAGGGCTCTGTGTTCAGTAGGGTTATGGTCAGGGCTCTGTGTTCAGTATTGTTGAGGTCAGGGCTCTGTGTTCAGTACGGTTGAGGTCAGGGCTCTGTGTTCAATAGGGTTCAGGTCAGGGCTCTGTATTCAGTAGGGTTGAAGTCAGAGCTCTGTGTTCAGTAGGGTTGAGGTCAGGGCTCTGTGTTCAGTAGGATTGAGGTCAGGGCTCTGTGTTCAGTAGGGTTGAGGTCAGGGCTCTATGTTCAGTAGGGTTGAGGTAAAGGCTCTGTGTTCAGTAGGGTTGAGGTCAGGGATCTGTGTTCAGTAGGGTTGAGGTCAGGGTCCTGTGTTCAATAGGGTTGAGGTCAGGGCTCTGTGTTCAGTAGGGTTGTGGTCAGGGCTCTGTGTTCAGTAGGATTGAGGTCAGGGTTCTGTGTTCAGTAGGGTGGAGGTCAGGGCTCTGTGTTCAGTAGGATTGAGGTCAGGGCTCTGTGTTCAGTAGGGTTGAGGTCAGGGCTCTGTGTTCAGTATTGTTGAGGTCAGGGCTCTGTGTTCAGTAGGGTTGAGGTCAGGGCTCTGTGTTCAGTAGGGTTGAGGTCAGGGCTCTGTGTTCAGTAGGGTTGAGGTCAGGGCTCTGTGTTCAGTAGGGTTGAGGTCAGAGCTCTGTGTTCAGTAGGGTTGAGGTCAGGGCTCTGTGTTCAGTAGGGTTGAGGTCAGGGCTCTGTGTTCAGTAGGGTTGAGGTCAGAGCTCTGTGTTCAGTAGGGTTGAGGTCAGGGCTCTGTGTTCAGTAGGGTTGAGGTCAGAGCTCTGTGTTCAGTAGGGTTGAAGTCAGGGCTCTGTGTAGGCCACTTCAGTTCCTCCATACCAAAAGTCATCAAACCATGTCTGAATGGAGCTGGCTATGTATGCAACCATGCTGCAGAAGAAAAGGTCCTTCCCCAAACTGTAGCCACAAGGTTAGAAGAGCAATTGTCTAAAATGTCTTTGTATTCTATACCCTTCATTGGCAACACCTGAACTTCAATATTTAGATGGAGTTCCACATCATTTTGACCAATAAATTCACAAATTAATCCAATTTCGTTATTTTTCTTTTTTCATGTGGAGTCAAAATCCAGAACCCCCAAATTACACAGATAACCCCCCTTGACACCACCAGATGACGTAGCTACCGGCAAAAGTAATTATTTGATTGCAACTCTATTATTATTATTATTATTATTATAATTCACTGCAATTAGTGCAATTTAAGAAGACACCAAAAACTTTTTGTGGGACACAGCCAACTTTATTTCCTTGAAAAAATAGACAATTTCTTTTTCATTTGAACAACATTTTTTCCCTTTACAAAAATGATAAATTCAACAGAAGCTGACAGAGAAACTTCAGCAGTGTGTACAAAGGAAAAAAAAAAAATACAAGCATATATAACAGTTCTTGTTCAATCTAAAAATAATTCAAAAACCATCTGTGTACAAATCTCAAGGCAGTCCTCTTACAGCAGCATAAAAAAAAAAAAAAAAAAAGAACAATCATGGAGAGTGTTTGAATCAGTTTTGTACAATAGCAGCATCAATCACAAACTGGAAACCAGCTTACTAAGTGCCTGACAACAAAGGAGTGGGGGGTAATAAGTCCATATCAACTACAAAGGTTTCCAACAATAGTGTGAGGAGTTCATATTTATATATATAAATAAGTCTTTATATGACGCCCAAGGTCATTCCATGCATTGTTCATTGTACAGTCTATCAAACCAGAGAACTTGGCTTGTTTTTTTTTCCCTCTGCTCCTTTAACTCGTTTATTGGCTTTAGACTGCAGGCTTAGGAGGGAGCTGTCCGGCTCAAAGTGCTGAACCTTCTCTAGAACTTGGTTGGCAATGTAGTCATAAGTGGCATCATGTCCCACCTAGAACGCAAGTGTATGGCATTGACTACACAGGTTAATTCAGGAACTGTGGTACAGAACTAAGCTTTAGAACTTGGTCATGTAGTCATAGTGGCATGATGTTCCACCTGGATCACAAGTGTATGGCATTGACTAGAGTGTATTTCTGAAGCTGTCCACAACTGTGGGACTAAACTAAGCTCCAGAACGTCCTTGGTACTAAAGTTGTAGAGACTTTTTTTTTTTTTTAGTTAAGAGAGGACTTGTTGATAAATAGCACCTAGACCATACGTAGATGGCAATGACTACAGGCATATTAGGGAGCTTTCCACCTCTTAAGTAAGCTCCAAATTACGGCTGGCCATATAGTCGAGGTAACAGCTACGAAAACAGTGCTTAGATGATAAGTATACATTGGGTTTTACAGTTATGTATACATTACGCTGTAAAGATAACAGAATACTGAGCCATGCAGGTGACAGCCGAGCTACAAATCAGGCTAGGTCATCCAGAAGAGAACTGGGACTAGCTGGCAGACCATTTGGAGGTAACATCTCCAAGGTAAAAGGTGAGCTCAGACCAAATGAAGGCTTTGTATGCCTCACAGGGTAGGGTAAGACAAGCCCAAGGAATAAAAGCCAAGGCCCTTCAGCTTCTCCTCAGTCCTGGCCTTCTGCTTCAAGTGGACCTTGCTGTGTCGCTTCTTTTCGTCACTCCTGGCAAACCTCCGGCCGCAGAGGTCGCAGGAGAAAGGTTTCTCCCCGGTGTGGGTTCTGATGTGGGTGGTCAGGTGGTCACTGCGGCTGAAGTTCCTCAGACAGATACGGCACTGAAAGGGCTTATGCCCAGTATGGATCCTCAAATGCCTGTTGAGCTCATCTGAGCGGGCAAAACTCCGGATACAGTTCTCCACTGGGCAGGCAAAGGCCTTCTCATTGGGTTTGGGTCGGAAGCATTTGGCTGGAAACTTATTCCGTCTGTACTTCCTCCTGGGCTCTGCCAGGGGATTGCTAGAACTGGGTGGTGGAATGGTGTCAGCTGTTGGGGAAAGACCCAGAAAATCTGTGGAGATGACTGGAGAAGATTGAATGGTCTCCTCTGTGTTCAGCATCCCTGGCATCTGCTGGTTGAGTTGGTACTTGGCATCAAGTAAGATCTGAGACTTTAAGTCAATCTTGGTCTCAGCAAAGTCACAGGGGGAGGTCTGGAATGCCTCTGACTGGCAGGTGAAGTCCATAGGGTTGTACATAACTGACTCCTCCACTACACCATTCAAATGAGGTTGGCAGCAGGCAGACATCATATTCTCTACCTTAGACTCAAGTGGGTGAAACACAGTTTGGGAGTTTTCAGAGGGCAAAAATCCCTCCAAGGGGTAAGATGCTGCAGCAAAGTTCTGAGATGTCTGGGGCTCCCATTGAGCATTAAATGAATCCAAGTCAGGTGAGATGGGAGACAAGTCCATTTCATGCTTGCTTGGCATATTTTTAGACTCAAAGAAACATTGGTTGGTGCAGGAATTTCCCAGATTGGGGGAGCTGGGCACCTGATGGAGGTCCTCTGTACTACTGAAGGCAGAATACAACTGGCTGGGGTACCCTTGCTGGACAGAAATATTGAGGTTTGGCTGGGAGTAAAGGTCCATGTGATTCTGTAGGGCCTCAGGAACAGAATAGAGTGCTTCCTGTCGATGGACCTTGTGTGGTGCAGAGAAAGGTGATAGACCCAGGATGCCAGACATCAAATTGAAGAGGGCCTCCTGTTCATGGGAGTGCTCTGTTCCTGTCTCAATGAAGAAGCTCCCGGAGTAGTTCAGAGGAAGGGGTGGGGAGGGCTGACTGCTCAGGAAGAAGTAGTCAGGATTGTCATCACTGGATAGGCTCACAAACGTTCCTGAGGGACAAAGAAAAAGAACTGAGTAAGTATGATGCTTTGCATCTTCCCCCACTATACAGATTTGTGGCATTTAACAGCTCCAACATTGTTTAGTCATCACAATGAATAACCTATTCCAAAATAAAAATGTAT